CAGGATGTGATTGAGCCATGCAAACGAGATAATCTTGAAAATTAAGAAGTTAAACGGGGCAAAGCCCGCGGGTTACAGCTAGTAATATTATAAATCACAACACGACACATGATAACACTTTATTCACATTTATGAGCTTGTCTTGGAAATGTAACTTTATAGCTTGGGTGAAAAAGCCTTGGTGTGTGCAACATGAACTATTTTGTTTAATGAAATGAAAACATCACCTATACATAAGAGTATACATTCCCATGTCAAATTAGTTGTGTTAGATTATATGCATGGAATGTTTAACCAAGCTTAACTATGAACAAAATTGTTAACAAATAAAAAATATTATATAAAGCTATACCTACAACATCTATCACTTGGACATTAAGTGACTTTTCGACACAAACTCAAGATTGAAGACCGTGGCGAAGCAGATGCTGAAAAATAAACGGGAGAAGGAAAGACACTTTTGGCCCGAGCGATGAACTACATCTTTCGTCATACTGCACCATTCTTTAAGTTGACTCATTCTCAACACGAATATTTTTGCATTCAATCTTAGAAGTTAGCTCCAAATTGGCTTCAATCTTGTCTTGCTTCATAATCAAACAGCTGTTACCGTCAAGTTCAACAATTTGACCCACATTCTTGTCGTTAAAGTTGTACGCAACTGGTATTCCTCCACCAACTAAATAATAAATTTGAATTAAAATTATTGATATACCTTTTCGTTTAAATCGGTACAATTGACATTAAATAGGTTATTTATTTGTTAAATCTTTAATTTTACACGATAATAAACACAAATAAATTCTAATGACGATAGTGGACTACTGTATTATTATTTGGAACTATATTCTTCTTGAAAGTCAGTGGAAGTAGGAATAAGAAAGATGTACAGCGGACGAAACGTTCTGTTCCCCGCAACAGCCGTTTTCGCTGCAGTATGTCAAAACAGAATTTTGACAGATTGAGCAGGTCATTAAACAATTGATATATTTGAACTAAACAGCTGATTCCTGCAGTTTTCTACCTTGAAATGCAAAAGTCTACGATGAAATAGAGAAAACATAAACACCACATGACGTTTTTGGCCCGAAAGTAAACATTTAACATTTCTTAGATAGAACTGCCAAAACATATGTTGAATGATATTAGTATGGAATTCGGGCCAACAACGTCATCTGTTTATGTTTATGATCCACACCGGTATTTTTCTTGTATTCGTGATAAACCCACATCACCACTAGCTAGGTGATCTGAACTGTTGGTTCTGGTTCTAATCTCGTGCAGTTATTTATAGCAGAGTCGGTCCGACATAGTGTTTACAATGTGTCGATTTCAGCACCCGTGTGTTATTTTGTTCCATTTGCATTTCAAATTAACCGTAAATAAATAACCGACGTGTTATCAAATTACGTCCAAATCTTAAAATCAATTCTACAGTGTATACATGTATAAATATACAATATTTGAATAGTGTTGTGTTTTAGTGAAGCTACACGAATCCAGGTATCTAAGGGTGTTTTTTTTATTTATATTTTTAATAGTGATTTTCCCGTAAAACCCCCCAAAAAAAGGAAAAATCTAATTTTCCAAAAAATGGCCCGAACGATTTTGAATAAACTTTAGTATATAGCTGATGTACCCGTGCTTTGCAACGGGAAGAGGACACAAAATTGAAACATTTTAACCTTTACCAATAGACAGAAACTTCAGTGATGTGACGAGGTATTTATATTATATTAATATTTACTTCTGTTGCATATAATAGTTACACATCCGCCAAGCTTTTAGAAACAAAATTCAACTTTTATGGCCTTAGAAACGTCATGACTTTTAAATCTGATAAGTAGTGGATACCACCATTTTGGTTTTGATTAATTGTAAATCTTGTGTAGGCTGATAATATGAAATAAACTTACCAAATCTTCGAAAAAAACTTTCACATACATGATTTACCTTCATCTCCCTTAATTACATATATTTTTTCTCAATTTTTGACATTTTAAATTTAAATTTTGACGTTGCAAAACTACTAATTATTAAATTTTAATGAACTGTTTTTTTTTAATTTACTCTTCTTCATATTAGATCACAAATCCTTCCATCTTGTGGTTTCTTCACTCAGAATAAATCATTAGCAAAAAATATCAGCTGTTATAATCTTTAGAAATATTGGTGTGCCTTATCAATAGTCTTTCGAAATTTTAAAGAAACTATATCTATACTATAAAAAATGTTAAACAAATAATTTAGCATTAGACAGCAGACAAAACTAATATGATTATCCAAAGCATCAAGGACTAAATAATGTAATAGCAAATACAGTATATGTTTCATTGCATCTCTGATTCTACTCTACAAAAATATCAACACACAACTTAATATACAAAACCAGCAGTTCTTTCAATCAGTTCCATCTTCCATTGCCTTTACATTTTCACAACTTACCATTAAGTAAACATAGTAACAGATATTTCATTGATTTAGAAACAAAAAAAACACTGTGTACTGCTTAGTTTTATGATATTTTCCTTGGTTTCAGTGGTGTGGAAAAACACAAATAATAAATTTATCAAATAAAGTAAATATGGACTGAAAGCTATGTTAAGATAAAATGAGAGTACTTTATACTTTTTATAGGTACTTTATACTTTTATACTTTTTGATGAAATGGCAACCATACAAAGTAGGTATTTTAAGCCAAGTATGAATGGAGATGAGTGTAGGATGTATTTTGTATTATGAGTATTTTTTATTACCATTTGATAATTAAATATGGTTACACATATACAACAGATTTTAGAACACAAAAATCGATGCACAATTTAGTTATTGATGATATTCTTTAGTTTAATTTAAGCATAGGTTTAGCGAAACACAATTACTAAATTTACCTAAATATACATGTAAAAAAACAATGTGATGTGCAAGTTATGAAGTTAATCTAAGACATGTTAATCAGTCCGAATCTATTTAAAGTAGCCTCCAAATTCATACAAACCATCTATAGATTGTAATTTTCCTACTGTTTCCATGAAAATATATCAATAACATTATTTTCATAACACTTAAGACACTTTAAAAATCTTAAGCAGAACCTGAGTTGATACAGCAACGCTTTTAGAATATTTTTTATTTCTATAATCGTTGACATAGTTTTACAATAAATAATCCATGATAAAAGGTTAGATTAAAATAAACCTACAAAAAGTTAGTAAACAAAAAATATAGGTTAGTTATGAAAAATATTATATATTTAATTTCATTGGATCAGCTGTCTTCAATTGTGAAATATGCAATTTGGCAGTTCTTCTTGTTTACATTGAAATGTCAAAGCAAATGTAAACATTGTGAGTATTATCATTGCAGCCATGGATACCAATCAATATTTACTTTGAAAATCCTCACCTCAGAACCTTTAAAGCCAAAGGGGCAAAGCCCACGGTCAGTATCAAAGTGTGAATAGTCCTATAATGGTCCTTGGTATGGTAGCTATATTTTTGTAAAATTTAAGCCCAGTTGGTTCAGTAGTTTTTGCACCTATTAGTAATACACATACAAACAGACACCATTAGATTTTTATATAATAGTATAGATATAGAAAGCCCATTAAATTCTGAACAATATGGTATACCCATTTATGTAAAATTATGGTTAAAAAGTTATTGTAACTTTTGTTACTATCCCAATAAAGAAATAAAATAAAACAAATCGAATTTTTTAAAAAATCCGGTTTTATTAAAACAGCATTTTATGGTCGTTATAATAACAAAATAGTGCAAGTTATTGTACATTTTGTGATTTTCCCTATAAAATATCATAGTTACTCCCACCTTACCTTATAAAAGTTGTTGGCAAGATAATGGGAGAAAGTATGTGTCAGATTGTTTACGTTTATTTTGTATTATTTAGGTTATGGCATGTCGATAAAAAACAAGGTTTAGGATGTTGTGTAAAACGAAAATTCTTTGATATAATTCTTTTGTTAGTAGTTTACTACTAAAAATCTGTGTAAGCTCCATTAATTAGTGGTTTACAAAAAACATGTCTTTGCTTGTTGTTTACCAGTTGTTGAATGCAATACTTAGGAGCGAGCGAGAGAGAGAGACAGAGTCTGAGCTCTACAGGAGCTATTTTCTCTGAACAGAACAGTTATAATGAATTGTAAGCGCCAAGTCTCTCCATTGTTCTAATGCAAGTCTTGCTATGACGCAGATCTCTGATAGATAACAACTGTTTTTGAACAACTTCCCATCCAAGCAATGCGCAATATACATCTTTTCTAGCATATGTTTTGAATTTGTATTGCAAACGAGTTTATCTCACTCATAAAATCACTACGTTTAAACAAAAGCAAAATTTAGATGTGGATAATGGACGTATTTAATCAATTCCCACTCAAATAATAATTTAGTAAAATGTTTAGAATGGAGTGATTCTAATTGAATGCCTTTGTTACTGACCAAGTATTTTTTCTTATTCAAAATCTTGTTTAAAAGGAATATTATCAAGGGCAGTAACAACGTTATCTAACAATTGAGCTGGGGACGCCACCTTGCGTATTTTAATCCAAATGAGTGAAGGATGAGTGATAGAACGAAGTGAGATGATCTGTTTAGCATTGTTACTGACTAAGATCAGCTGTTTCATTAGCCAGGACCATTTATTTAAAGCCCAATGATCAGGAACAGCTGAGTCCAGTTTCAAACCATCAAAAAGTTACTGCGACCTTTTGATTGTTAGGCGAGCACTGCGACCACTCAGCTACCCAGACTTTTACAATATCAAACAATTGAAAAGCTGCTGACTTTTCTAAGGTTCTGAATCACATAAATATCACTATACTCACTCTAGTTACTAAACTCTTGATCTGAATCGACTTGAATGAATGTTTCCATACTCTATACATTTTGAGAGTATCTTCCAATGCAACATCAAGTTGTAAAATTCGAAAAATGTAATTTGAGAGGGGAAAATATGGTAAAAGTATTTGTATTTTTCAGGTAAACTTAGCAGAAGAGTTCGACATCCTACAGATTGTTGGAGAAGGATGGTTTGGCAAGATTCTGTTGGTAGAGCACAAAGTTACAGACACGGAGATGGTGTTGAAGGCGTTGCCGAAACCTTATGTTTCTATAAAAGTGAGTAAAAAGATAACAAGTTCAATGGAATACTGTACTTAAATAAATGGTGGTTCGTTCACAAAATGCTATTTGTTAAACGTTATGATCATACATTCAAGGCAAAGAATAGAGTGATACAATAGCTTTATTTTCAATCACAACTTAAAATGTTTCTCTTCCTAGATTGGAACAAATGTTTTAAGTTTACATTTTAACAATCCATCCTTATTACAATCATACAATAACAATCATGTTATTGAATAGTTTAAATTCAAATATATCAACTCTCGAAACGAACTTTTAAAGGGAAATTTCTCAGTTCTCACACCCCAAAAGATCAACTAAGGGATAACATAACATCCTATATATAAAAGTTAGAACGCCCAATGATCTAAGTTCTCGCATGATCATTAATCATTAAATTATTGTACTTACACTTAACAAACTCTAAATTACAGGATTTCTACAGAGAATTCCATTACGGTCTTCATCTGTCCGCTCACAAGAACATAGTCACGACTCATGACGTGGCGTTTGAGACTGCAGGGTTCTACGTGTTCAGTCAAGAATATGCAGCATTGGGAGATCTCACGAGCAACGTGTCCGAGACGGGAATAGGAGAGCTGCATAGCAAACGTGTGGCCAGACAGGTAGGATATGTCTGTAGCATTGGTAGCGTAGCATTGGTAGCGTGCCATTGTTAATGGTGGAAATTTAGCATAAACATCCAGCTGTAACCAATCTTATTGTTTTACTTGATAAGCCGAAACGTTACTCATTCGGCTCGTCGGAATCATATTATTAATTGTTTGAGATGGGGACGACACATAATCACTACAATTTATCTTTGGACGCTGAAGAAACCATTGATTTTATACATCGATGGAAGTAAGAGTCTCAATAATCAACGGTTACTACTTTCCTGGCCTGTGTTCTTTTTTGTACTTCATCGTCCGCTCGATGTGTTCAAGAAATAGCCTACTCATGTCAAACTGAGTATGGAAATTACCTTCCCTTTGAAAACCGGAGAGATTCAAGCATTTGATTAGATAAATATCTTACTTTGTTGACTTAATCGTCGTAGAGAACACCTTTGTTGTAGTTCTTGAGTAGGTAAGATGTTTGTGTCACCCTAAGCACTTCGCATCTTCCTATGCAAGTTGGCGAAATATATAGGGTTACACAAACACCTTACGTACTCAAGAACTACAGGCAACAACAACAAAGGTAATCTAATTAATTTAGTTCTTGAAACTGGGATAACAACATAAGTTTGTAGATAACACATCATAGAGCTATAGTAAATTTATTCCAGAAGACACGCTGAATGAATACAAACATGCAAGAAGACTAAAAGCTGGATAACAAATTGGAACCATAACCATGTCTACAAACCGTATTGATGAATAAATATCTAGAATTTCATCAGAAAATCGTTTGTGTAAATTTTTAATTCCATTATAGTCTTGAATTAAAAAATCACGCAATAGCCTATTGAATGTTGATGAAAGTACTGTATTACTAAGTTAGTTAATTTTGATGTATTCTTTCAGCTGGCGGCAGCTTTGGAGCACATCCACGCCAGAGATCTTGTACACAGAGATGTCAAACTGGACAACGTGTTGGTCTTCAGGTCAGACTTTGCTAGGGTCAAGTTGTGCGACTTCGGTGAAACCAGGAGAGCAGGTGATTGTGAAAACAAATACAAACAATAAACAAATTAGTGGACAGAAACGTATAAAACTTAGGATTTCTATACTCCAAACGATTGTTTTCTTCTGGGAGTAAAATAGTTGTATATTTTCAGGGACGCTGGTAAGAAGGAGGAACGAGTGGCTTCCGTACTCACCACCTGAAGTACTACTTACAAACACGGATGAAACATACAAGTGAGTAGGTAGTGGTAGGAAAATGTGGCTGAATAATGTCACTAATGTGGCTGTAGTGTAAGTCTCTGCAAATTGACGCCAGTTGGTATAAAGAGGATTGCTAAATCCAGAATTAATTATCTAAGGCAGGAAGAACCTTAACGTGAGAGGGCAGGGTGAACCACCTTGCACATACTGCTCTGAGTATTACTGTATGCAGATTTCCTTCCTATAAAAATAATCGAGTGTACCTCCGAAAAACGTATTGAGGGATTGTTGCCTTGGAGAAATCTGAAGAAAGATGACAACTTCCACAAACATCTTCGTACAAACCAAGATGATATCTAGGATATTTACTGGTTCCTGGAGTGGAGTCGAGTGATCTGTAGTTTGGGGTGAATACACGGACAAGCATAAAATAACCTAAAAGGGTTCCATTAGTTTTCTGCAGCTCGTGGGGGTTTAGTGAGTGATTGTGCTAGTTGGAGGACCAAGCTGTGTCTTTTATAGATCTTCAAACGCAACAAAAGAAATTATGAGACTAGTGTAAAATCAAGGTTGCATTGTAAAGTTACGTGGTAGGATATAGGTAATTCAATTAAACTAAGTTAGTAGATTGAAACAACTATATGCTCTACTTTTAACTATAAATAAGTACACTGAGATAATAATTGTATTCAATACTCGAGTATGAAAATCCCGTGGTTTGAAAGGTTGATCGTAAACTGTTCCGAGTTCGGATGGGATTTGGCATACAGCTTGTCTCTGGCACGGTGTCAAAAATTATGCTCTACGATTGTGAAGAGAAGAAAGTGAAGTTTTTTCAGACTTGATAAATCGTTTTGAACTCGCCAAGTATGATTGTAGGGACAATTACATTACGAATGTCTTTGACAGAAATTTACAACTACGATTCCAACGTTTCCTGGAACGTTCTGAAAATGTATAGCAACGTGAAAAAGGTGGAAATTAACACGCCTCTTCAGAATGAATTGCATCCAAAAGAATTCGCTGGCGTCTACATTTAATTTATAACTGGTAATATTCTCACGTCCAAATAGATTGTTTGCAGTAGGATGGATCTGTCGGCAAAAAGGTTGAAACACGCATAAATTACTTTATGAGTTTAGAATATAGCAACATTTATTTTTTTCCGCTGATATGATAGCATCAATTAGAGGCCTTTGTGTCTTACATAGCAATGGGTCTGATTTACATCTTAAATCAATATCAGACAAAACAACCCCAACAAGTTCTATTTATGTCAAAATGAAGAGTCCTCCATTTATTTTCTTGTACTTATTTTTTACTTAGCTTACTTATGATATTTGCTCCTCTTATTACAACTACTGCCTTTATACCAAAGCCCCCTTACGATAACTGCCCCATTTATGAAAGCTCCTCCCATAATTACATATGTAACTGACACAGTTGTCATAACTGGCGCAGTTGTCGTAACTGGCGCAGTTGTGCTGGTGCAGTTGCTACCGTAACCCAGTGTATTCTATAGCCCCGACCGTAACCACTCATGACGCTCTCTCTGTGTACAGGGCGGAGACGTCACACGATGTGTGGCAGTTCGCCATCGTCGTGTTTGTCTGCCTCACGGGGTGTCTTCCCTGGCAGAAGGCGATGTTTGATGACCCAAGGTATACAAGGTACCTCCAATGGCACGGCAGCAACCAGGTAAGCTAGCATTAGAGTTAAATTTTTCTTAACTAGCTCATGTATTTGTGTTTGTGTAATATCATAGACAAATTTCTATTTTAGACCCGGGACCAATTTGCTTTTTCCTTTTTGATGTCCCCAGAGGCCAAAAACACCATCCGTTCAAATTCATACATACAGTATATGTGCGTTGGCACGATAACTCAAACAAAAATGATCCGATTTTGATGAAATTTGGTACAAACGTGTAAACCTACGTTTATTCAAAGGAGTTCACGTACCAGCACAATCGGACTATGGGAACGGGGTTTTATGGAGTGAAAATGGATTTTTCCTATTTTTGACCCTAAAAACACAAAGTTTCATGATTCCTCCCCAAACCATTTTGTACGGAATTCCGTACTTTTCCGTATTTTGGTAATTCCGTAGTATAGACTTTGGGTGACGACTATACCACGACAGGATGATCACTATCATTGCCTCAATTTAAATTTTGATACTCGTTAAAGAGTGACATCAGGGCGTTGGGCTTGAGTGTGTTAGTGGTCCTCCTGGCGTGGCCTACTCATCTACCTAATAATAATACAACAAAACAACATGTAAAAGTAGGAACCCGTTTCCTAAAGAATTATTACCTAATTTGTTTCGGAGATGCTAGAACACAGTGGGGAAGCAAAAATAAATGAAAATGTCATTTAACTCATAGACATTTTTGATATACACAATACCTGATTGTGCAGGTGATGATGCCGGTCCGCAAGCCCAAGCTGTTCAAGCTGGTGTCTGCGCGAGCCCAGAGGTTCCTGCGCAAGTTCCTGGAGCCGCGCGCAGACAAGCGACCGCAGCGTCTCACGGATCTGCCGAGGTATCTGGAGGATCGGTGGCTGGCCAAGTCTTCACTGGACCGACAAGCTGGTTAGTATCAGATCACTACTAAACTTACGATTGCAAGATGGTTTTTACCATGTTTATTTCACTGCTTAGTTGTGCAATGGTGTTGAACTGAACATTGCTGACGAAGAAGATTTTACTATATTGGTCGACAAGCTGGTCAGTGTGTCGACCTCAGAAAGCTTCCGGTTCAGCTATACGTTTCCAAGATTTTGTTTACCTTATTTTCAAAACTATCTTTGTACCATTAACCAAGAAATGAACATTGGCGGTGGGGGATTTTCCTCAAATCGTTACCCCGACCTTTGATGGACCCGTTATTATAGCATTCTTTAGCATTATCTACTTCTATGCTTTTACTGTCCACACTTGCACAGCCTTAAAAGCACATCCTCAAAAATGTGTCCTTTTTTATCTTTATCAGTTGGCTGTCATAGTTTTCATGTAGGTAACCTAATAATGTAACTATAATTTTACAGAGATGGGCTACGAAGATGACGGCCTCTGCCCTTCCATGTACAGTTTCCACAGCAGCGCGGAGGAGAAGAACAAACTGCTATCGACCCTGGTGGCCTACGGGATAGAGACCACGGTGGACAGGAAGGCGAAGAAGGACAGAATCCGTCAATGGATCCAGAGCAGCGTGATAGACGAAGATGAAGAAGAGGAAGAAGGGACGAGTACCGCCACCTCTAGCAGGACCAGGAACTACGGAAGATCCAAGGAAGCAGGATCTTCTACAGGAACCGTGGGGACGGACAGTAGATCTGCGAGTGCCTGAGAAACATGGTGATTTCCAAATATTAGACTTCCTCAGACATGGGTGATGACTTCAGATTGTCTGCTGGCAGACAATCATTGTGTCATTGCCAAGTTTGATTAATATTGTCTGCGCCACCGTCTTGGACGGTACAGGCAATCCAAGGTACAGGGGCGTTACTAATACAAGTCTAGTCGTCGTGTCAGGAAAATCTGTAAAAGACACTCTTTCTTCTTGTTTACCTTCACAAACACTGAAAGCGAGCTTCGTGTTAGATTGAACCCGACTGTAAATATGTTGCACGTTCTGGTGCTGTTATATGGGTATAAAATACAGTCCTTAACAGTATCCGATATCTATACCATCTATGCACTTTTACTGTAAGCTTTTAGTATGATAAAGACATTAAATATGTTTAGCTATACAGGGTGTCAAGGAACACTCTACCAATATTTTAGGGCATTGTTCATAGGTAAGGAACGTATCTACCCAAATATCATATTTCAATTGTCTGGAAGTTCTTAGTTACTCACACAGCCGCTATTTTGTTTTTTTCACTTTGTGGTTAAACATACGAAATTGGAACTTTGCACAAATATGTAACAACTAGACAAAGCTTTTACAAAATTATTAAAGTTTTCGAAATTCATAAAAACAAATGACGGCCATTTACAATTTTTGTTCTTAAATAACTAAAAAAAAGTTGAAATTTGGAGCTTTAATGGTACAAGACAACATGCCTCGGCATACACTGCAACTACCTCCAGCGGTCACGTATCATAAAGCTCAAAGCTGCCATATCTCAGTTATCATTCGTTCAATCTTAAAAAATAAGGTTGCAATCGATTTGTAATTACATTGCCTTTAAAAAGTTATTCTTGTAAAATCTTTGTAAAACCAACGGTTTTTGTGTTATTAAAGATACAAAACTGTAAATGGCCACCATTTTGTTTTATGAATTTGGAAAACTGTCATATTTTTTGCAGCTTTGTCTAGTTGATAAATGTTTGTACAAAGTTACAATTTTGAATGTTTAACCATTTTTCACTAAAAAATTAATAAGTGAAAAAAACTAAATGGTGGCTGTGTGAGTAACTAAGGACTTTTAAATATGATATTTAGATACGTTTCATACCCAGGAACAATGCCCTAAAATATTGGTGGAGAGTTCCGGGACACCCTGTATATTTCGATCAGTACACAGGCCTATGGGAAACTCAGATAATCATAAAGACGACTTGCTTTTATACAGTTGTTCGCTGGTAGTTTTGGAAAGGTAATTCGGACAAGGTCTGGTGGCAAATTCACTTTCATATTCGTTGATTGATTTTCCTCTGTATTTCCAAAAGATCTGGTGACCTCAACAAAGCTTGGTATCCAGCAAGGACGTAGTTTTGATTATCTTGTTTTCCCATAAGGGTTCATGAACATCACATATGTAGTATTTGTGTTAATGTTGATACAATGTTTTAGTTAATTATTGTCATTGATTTTTTTTTTATTATTTTAGATTTTTTAAATTGAGGCTCTATAGCAAACGATGACTTTTTCCTCGAACAGCTTGATAAATGGTTATAATTGTATATCTAAACTAGTTTCTAAGAAGTGCTAAACTATCGTACAGTTAATTTGAGATATCCCTTATCTTTATCCAGCCTTTTTTATAGAGTAAAAAGAGGATATTTTATATGTGAGGGTTATTATATTAATGTTTAAGATATGTATAGGAAATTACCTGATAACTTAGGACAATACTGTTGTGACTTAGAAATAAGTCATTGTTTGTAAATAAAATATGTTTGTAGCTTTATCTTATGTAAGTCCATATATGTGTCCAAGTATATATAAGAACCACCCAGTTTTGATTATGTAAATTGTGTTCGTGTCCAGGGAAGGAATTTTGTTTTAAGTCCTTAGTAACCACACAATATTATTGTCATTAAGGAATAGCAATATAAGTTAGTTTAGTAGCATAGTTTTCTCCAAAAATACAATAGTATCAATCGATTAAATTACAAAAATATATAAACGAAGCTATTCTAATTTGCAAATCTAACCTATAAGACCTTTGTTTTTTAATCACTAGTTTCAAAATGAAAACGAAATGATAAAAGTGCATTCAATTGTGTATTATGATTTTATAAAATAAGTATAAGAGTAAAATTGTTTTCTCGTGTATTTAATAAGTAGCTCAGTTGGTCTTCAAAAATGTAGAAACAGAAAGTGAATGAGAAATATAGTTTTATTTTAGTAATATCTCAGAAAATTTTAATTGTGTTCTTTATGTTATTTTTCAATTGTTTTTGTTGATGTAATGTTGCCAACATATCATTGTAATAATGTATTTTATTATATTATAGATTTAGAAATAATCGTAAATTTTATTTGTAAATATTATAAAATATATTTAAGAAGTTTTAACAGAAGGAAATATTTTCAACGGTTCTTATAATATTTGAGTTATATCATTAATACATGCTGTAAAATCTCAAAATTGTAGAGTAATTCTTGACAAAAATTAACCTTTTTACTACGTTTATGCACGTAAAACTGCAATTATAGTTTTTTTTTGTAATTTTAACCATAATAAAATTTCAATTGTATTACATACTGTTTGGTTTACAGTTCAAAAAGTGTTAATAATAATCCAAGTTTAAATATTGACATAAAACACTGTTTCATAAATTGCATATTTTAAAAGAGTTTTTTATAACAATCAATTTACAATCTAAATACACATACATACGTTTATACGACTGTGATTTATTCAATGAAACAAAGCTTTTTTATTAGACGACAAAATGTGGCTATTTTTATTTACAAACAATTAGAAATTGTGTCATGAGTTTACTATTTTTGTAAATTTCTATTGAAAATGTGTAAATACTTGTTTTGGTTACCTCAATTGGTTTGTAAGTACATATTTCTCGATTATTGTAAAAAATGTAGTCTTCAGCATAAGACAATAGCGATAATTTTAATATACTCTTTTACACGAACACTATAAAAATACCGCTATGGATCATAAACATAAACAATTGACTTTTTGGGCCCGAAAGTAAACAAAACCCCTATACTATTAGCATTAATTAACATATGGTTTTGTTTACTTTCAGGCCAAACGTCATTAGTTTATGTTTATGATCCATACCGGGTCTTTTCTAGCATTCGTGCTCTTTTATATCATAATCATGTCACCTTTTTTGCCGGAACTCGGTTGCTAACCACAACCTGAAAATCACTATAGATGAGCAAATTTATGCAATATTCAATGTTATCAATAATCCAAAGCCTAGAATACCATCTTAAATTAATAAGTGACTCGTAAAAGACTGAGAACTTTCCAGTTCATAATTGAAACGCTTCTAGATGTCATGAATAAAATGTTACCTGTAGTATTATGTGTGTTGTTTTTGTTACCTCATTATTCGTTAACATCTTAAAATGCAGTAGTAATGTTCATTTTCACCACACTATGATGTTTTTGGCTGTATTACATACGTTAATTGGTGGCTGAAAGTTACGTTTTGCTGGCCATGCCAGCTGTCATCGTAATTTGGGGACCGAGCAGGTTTTTACAGGCCGGGGCCGGAAAATCAGCTGTCCGCTTACTTACTTAAAACATGAATGCATTTACAATACACAATCAAAATCCATTGCAATAGAATTTTGTTATTGTCACCGTTGCCTAGCAACTATTTATTTTCATTTTTGCTGATTCCTCAAATTATTTTAACCTTAAAGTTGTAGTTGTGTTGACTATCAGTGTGCATTATTATTGTGGTGAATAGTGTTAATAGGGTATAGTGTGGTGAAAAATTGCGTTCGTACCACGGACCGAAATGGTTTTGCAGCTCTCGATCGATTTAAGTTCTCGACTTCGTCTCGGAACTTAAAAACTATCTCGAGCCGGCAACACCTCATTTTCGGCCCTAGGTACGAAATATACTATTATGTATCCAGTCCTAATAACAATGTATGGACTTGATATCATGGAAGTCATTTTTTACACCTTCTCTTCAAATCAGCTGTATGAAGAAAATGTCCTAATGAAACGAAAAAATGAGAAGAAGATGAAAGAGAAGTGAAAATAATGTAAAAATTATTGGTTTTTAATTACTACAAACACAAATAAGTATGTATTCCCAAACTCTCTACCTCAGAACGTTTTAGGGCCAGATCAATGTCCTGAGTTATCTATATTTATAAAAGAGGATGTTTGTGTATATTTGAACGTTATGAGCAAGGGCACCGTTGACCGATTGCCATGAAACTTTCAGGCATTATTAAGCTTTATTCAAGGATGGTTTGTGTGAAGTTTGGTGCAGATCCCTCAAAAGGGCTCCACCCCAGTGGCTCTGAATTTTCCCGTGTTAACCTTATGAGTAGGCCTACTCGTGGTTAAATGTAATTAAAGAATTTTAACAGCTGTTTCAACTAAACAATGTGATTCTGTGATGTTCAATAGCATTAAAAAGCTATAAGGTTTACCAACAGGGTGCAGCACTATTAATTGTTTAAATTGATGACAACAGCTAATTTGAACCAAGCAGCAACAAAAAGCTGTGATACAAAATGGGAACTGTCAAAGTAGGATTTTTTACAGAGTTATGTTTATGTTTTTAATTTAATAAATAATTTTTTAATATTGTGGGAATAAGGTGTTTTATTTTTAAGTGCATAGTTCATTATCTTATTGACTTTCTTTTTTCCTATTTGTTAACAAAAATCTATTGTGTTTGTAAGGTTTATTTCTCCAAAAATAATGTTTGGGAAACGGTGAGGCCAGTTAATACTCTTTTACCTTGCATGCCCGTCCAAATGGGATACAGAAACCGTGGCGTGGAACTTATCCAGCAAAGATAGGGGTGAGCCGGTACAGTACAAGGGTGAACTGTACTGATAAAAAGTAGTGGCGTTTCAAAGGACATATTCTTCGGTTGGTTTTCCTTTGAGCACAAATGAAGCTACCTTAAACTCAACATACATCGTCTACTTTATAGTAATGTGTAAACGTAGGTGAGCGTAGTAAACCTAAAGTGTTATGTGATCATAAACACATAAAACGATTTGATGACGTCACGTAGATTTCTGAGATGATTGCACAGTAAATAGCGGGACTGAACTATTTACCATACTGTACATTACCAAACATACATTTTCATGACCTGAAACACTAGAAAACGTACTTCGTATTTGCTTTGAAATCTTTTACTACTTCTCTGTACTTTACCAACAGCGGTGGAAACAAAAATTAAAAATAACTAGCAGCCAGCGTCACTTTGTGACTTCAAGATCTCTTATTTGAATTAATTTACAGTTTTCTATTGGAAATTCTACCAAAACACAAAATACAGCGTAAGTCATTTTCTACTTTACATTTTAAACTAATACCATTACAATATTTTACTTGAATTCACTAAAACATCACCAACTGCAACGATGACATTTTCGTATGGATATAAACTAAAACTGTATAGCCATAACACGTTGTATAGTAAACAAATGTAAACTTTTAAAAGCTCAGATGATGGACAACAGAATTCAGCACAAACTCTAAAATTTTAAAAGCCTGTAGGACGAAAGGCTTTCACGGGATATCATCCAAACCCGCAAAAGGCACATAGATGATAAGAGCGTTAAATTAATACCCAATATGCCTATAAAATTAATATTTAGGAGTCGATTTGCTGAATACAAAAACCCAACGAATTCTTTTAATAATATAGATGATAGTATATTTCATTACTGGAGTAAGAAAAAAATAGTTTTTACGTTTCAGATGATAAAATTAAGTTCGTTCAGACCCTTTGTATGTCCCGGAAAAACGAAAATAAGTCTAACACTTTAAAGTGTTATATATTTACAGTCATACTGTTTTAACAAGACTTATATATAAAAGATGGTAAGTGGTGATCGATTTAGATTGAACACTCCATTCATTAGAGCCAATATGCGAAAGGCATTCCCTTCTGTACACAGAATGCAATAAGTTTTTTTCTTTGGGTTTACACACCTAGTAAAACGCCATTTGATATATTTACAGAGGACAGTTACACACATATATCATTTAAAGAATACCATAGACTAACCAACGTTTTATCTTTGAGAATACCCATTTGGACCTGATGATGATAGAGTGTTTTCGTCAAAATCGATCAATATAACATTTTGTATAATTAAGTCCTGCAAATGTTTACAGTATAAACTTGTCTAAGTGTTGTAAAACGTAACACACTATGCATATAACAGTACTAACACGTAATATTCTATACTTCGTTCACAATATTTTGGTTTTAGGGAAAGAAATCTTTTCCCTCTACTTGACCCTTATCTTTATAATAATACCTCAGCAGCTGATTAAGTAACATACATTAAAGTGCACAAAGATTTGGGAAACTTTTCCTCAAACTGACTAAATATTGTGAATATAATCAGGGCTTTTCATTACACACAGTATAATATAGTACAAATAGTACATAGTAATACAGAACAAATTAATTGCACAGCATTAAGCGCATCTTAGAAAGCCTGGTCGGGCCGGGCGCCAGACAGAGGCTGAATTTCGATGGCGAATTCTTTGGCAGCGGATTGAGTGTTCGATATTTTAGCAGCAGATTCAACGCTCCAACTAAGCTCTGAGTCACGGTTTGTATGAAACGATTACTTATTTGGAACTATTATTCGTGTTTCGTCACATTTGATATTGCAGCCATTTGAATTTAGTCATTTTTGCCAATGAATTGGGTCTTTTCCAGAAAAGGGTCACCATTATTTAAACTTTGGAAACCCCTCAGTTTAGTTTGGGTGATTTTTGGGTTTATGGAATTATTTATGTTCAGTAAATAAACTAAACGTGTGAGTAAAGCTATAAACTAGCCTTAACCTAAACTGCGATTACTACTCAATTTAAAAAGTGGCGGCCTCGTCTGTAAAGCCCTCCCCCCCATAATCATCTTTAATAATCAACCATCATTAATCATTTGGGGGTTGACGATTTTGCAATAATAATGAATCAACATAAGTAAAACCAGCTGTTCACTTATTTACACAAACAGTACGCATTATGCATTGCCATAGACTTGTTTTGTTGTCAACTTTTTATTATTATTTTTCCTGATTACTCTAGTTTTTCACATAACCTTAAAGTTGTAGCTGTGTTGACTGTTAGTCTACATTACATTGTGTGCAAATGGAAAAATACCGGATTCATTGAAAAGAAAAGCAGAAGCAGTACCTGAAAACCATCAAAATACAAGGAAAGATATGTCGAATTTCGTAGGTTTGCAAAGTGGTGAGAAAAAGAGATTGTTTCACCTTTAGACGTAAGTGATTGCATTTTACTTGTCTAATTATCGAACATCAATATTGT